ATTCATGAGTTGTTCTCTAGTTGAGCAGTGTACTCTCTGCTCTTATTGCACATCTCTTGGGTCCCATCAATGCTGCTTGAAGTGTAGCAGGTTCGTGAATAGCTTATGCGGTGTGAGCATGATACTGAAGAATTTTCCCTGTTGGTTTTCACATCATGGTGGCGAGCTTGGCGTGAGATCGTCCATTGAATGTGTGTTATTATCTTTTGCACAGCTGAAGTGCTGGTTCTTGCCGTGAATAGAGCGTTTTGGACGACAAGATTCCCATCGCTCAGGCAAAGACTAATTTCATTGCAAGAGTAGAATATTCGTTTGGCTTAGCTAAACTGTATTTCTCTCCAGCATGGAGGAGAATATTCTCTCGGCCCATCACCTGCCCGCTAATTCATTCATGTTCGTTTCCATACAGATCTATTTTATTGTAGTCCTTGATTCATTTATCATGGCAGAACTGAAGCTAACAATGGTGTCGAAAGAGTCTCAAGAATAGATCCAGGTAATTTTCTTGTTCCCAGAGGGATTCCATCATATCTCCAACGCTCTTGCCAGATATTTCCTAAACGCTTTGAACAAAAGTAAAAAAAGCAAAACTCGCTGTGGTCCCAGAGGTTCAAGTAAGGCGAGAAACAAATCTTACCTCACCGAAACAAATTCGCTAGGCACTCTCAGAGGATTCGAGATATAGACTAGAGATTCCGTGATCTTTCTCCCGAAGAATAGAAACCATTTCATTCGAGTAAGACTCCTAAAAATTTATCCAACTTAGAGCTTAGAATTTGGAGATGGCTGCGCGTACGTGAGCCCTCAACTTCCACAAATTACAACGTCCACTCCACTTTGGGAAGATGCTAGGGAGTGCAATGGGAAGGCCGAACCTAGGCCATTGATGATTACCAATAGACCCGTGCTCTCATTCATATCTTTCAGTCAAAAACCTAGTCAAAAGAAAAGTGGCATAATCGCTCGGATCTAGCTTGGTTAGCTGCCCCACTCGCTTTGCTATCCTGCCCAATCGAGGAGGAGCTTCCAGGCCTGCCGCTAGATCCTCAGCGTCGCCAGCTCCAATCGGCTCGTCAGCAGGATCGCGCAGTAGTGCTCCACAGACGATCCCCTCGAAGTCGTCCCGCGACCACAAGGTTAAGAGCCTTGCGCTCTATCAATGGTCAGATTATCTTGAAGAAAATAATCATCGACATAGAAGGTTGTCGAGCTTTTCTCTTTTTTACATGTAGAGTATGTATCGGAGGCCATTTATGATCTCCAGAAGCTTGCGGGACTTGCGATTGACAAAGACAAAAGCTGAACAGAATGTGCTGGGCCGGAAGCGCTGCCCTCTCTCCCGCTTGATGAGTGAAATCCCCACCTGACCATGAATGTGAAGACCGTGATCAGTGCCTTGGTGGCCAGTATCTCCATTTTGTCATGATCATGGTGTTGCTGCTGCTGCTGATCCATTATCATGCGGATGTGACCATCCATAGATATAAGAGGGTCAAAGAACTGTGCCAAGTTAGACTACTTCTTTATTTTATCAAAGTAAAAAATTTTGCCGGTCAAAGCTTTCTCTTTTGTTCACTTTCAATCCAAAACCGAGAGGAATGTTTTGTAAGGCATTACTACTTATTAGAGGGTATATTTAATATTTTTATATGTATACATAAAAGTTATTTTATCCCTATTTATCCCTTAATGTTCTAAGGATTTATGATTATATAAATTTCATTCCATGATCACATAACTTCACAAATTGATATTTGCCCATTCATTATTTCTAGTTACACCATGATATAACGGCATTAAAAAATTTAATTATATACATGGTTGTTGACCTATGATCATCAAGATCCCCAACTAAATTGGTGAAGATCCGTACATGGTTCCTCTCTATCCAACTTGTGGTAAAATTCTTGATGGAAGAATGAACAGGAAAATTCTATTCCTTGAACACTTGTTATACATGGACTTATATATGCCTTCCTCTCCTGGATTTTGCTGCTGATTCTAGCTGTGTGCTCTTAGACTTGGAATCTTAGTTGTCTTATCAGCATTGTTTTGTTTTTGTTGGGACAAAGTTCCTGTGAAGAACAAAGTTAACAGACATTGCTTCTTTGTTTTAAGATTTGTAGAGCAGGTCTCCAAAAATTCTCGCTAGTTTAGACCAGCAAGGGGTTGGAAGTAGTTTTAAATATGGTGGAATAATGACGTGGCTGCTTATAGTTGACGTGGCCCAACCATGTCAGTAAACGCCTGACCTGTCTTTTAATTTAAACAAGTTGGCGCACGTAAGAGATTCGATAGAACCACATGACCAGCACCGCAGCTCCGCTCTATCTCCATGACACGCTCCGCCACCGCCACGCCCCGCCGAGCATCGTTCTGGACCTGGCATCCTCCCAGCACCATCATCCACTGGAAGCCACCACCGCCACCACCGCCACCACCGCCGCTACTACTCTCCGAGAGCTCCTCCGCGATGCTCAATCGCCCCGAGCGACTAAAGAGATCAACCAAGCACCCCTGGTGCTCCGGTCCCGCTGGAACTCCATAGTCGATCGCCATGGACGAGAAGTAAAAGACAGCGCTCGCCGCCTGGCCCGAGTGGCTGCACGCCGAGAGGATGCTCACGAAAGTTATCCCGTCCGGAGCGATCCCTTGCAGCTGCATCTCGAGGAACAGCTCCAGCGCCTGCCCAGCGGTGGCGTTGCGAGCGTACGCTGCGATGATCGAGTTCCAGGATACCACGTCCCGGCGTGAGATGTCCTGGAACACTTGGTCGGCCTGGTTGAGGTTGCCGACCTTCGCGTAGAGGTTGATGAAGCCGTGCTTGATAACGTCGTCTCGGAAAACCTGCGCCTGGACTGCCAGTGCTTGGATCGCCTTGCAGCTCTGAGCACTGGAGATAATCGAGCCGGAGGAGTTCGAAGATGCAGCAGTGAGGAAGCTGACGAAGCTAATCTTGTTGGGACGAAAGCCTTCCAGCTGCATCCGGTGGAAGATCTCGAGCACCTCGTCACCTTTCTCGGCTGCCACCATGAGAGCGTTCCAGGAGATCACGTCCCTCACGGCCATTGAGTTGAAAGCCTGTTGAGCAGCCACGAAGTCTCCACACCTCCCGTGCATTGTGATGACAGCATTTCCGAGAAGAAGATCTGCTTCTGACTCGTGTGATCCCAGTGACGTTGTCTCCAGGATGCAACTTAGAACAAGGTTTGCATCCCTCGGCGAAGAGCAGGCGTTGAGCACCGAAACGAACGTGGCCTTGCTCGGCTTCATCCCTTCTAGCTGCATCATCCGGAACAAGTTGAGAGCTTCTCCAAACTCGTTGTGCTGGATACACGCGGTGATAATCGCGTTCATTGCCACGAGGTCCTTCTCGGCCACCGTGTTGAAAGCCCGAAAAGCGTCTTCTACACTTCCACACCTTCCATACATGCTGATCACTGCAGTACCCAGCACTGTGCCTGATTCCCAGCCACTTCCAACCACCTGTTTGTGAACCTTCCTCCCGAACTTTAGATCCTGCGGACTCTCGCAGGCGTTAAGGATGCTCGCAAGTGTTATTTCATCCGCCTGAAACCCCTCCAGCTGCGTCGAGTGAAGAGAACGCAATGACTTCTCAGCCATCCCACTGTCTGCGAACGCTGCAACAAGTGCGTTCCACGACACGAATGTTTCCTCTCCGGCCCGAAAAACTGCTTGAGCATCTTCGACAGCTCCACATTTCCCGTACATCCGGATGATTGAAGCACGAACAAGCTCATCCTCCAAGTGTCCACAGCAGTCGCAAATCCAGCAGTGGATAGCGCGTCCAAGCTGTAGCAAGCCACCTTTAGCGCATAGATTCAAAATTAAAACTAAAGTCATACTGTTTGGTTTGCCACCGTTGAGCTGCATCTCTTGAAATCTCTGGATGGCTACTCCAACTTGTCCGCGCTCTATAAGCGCTCCCAGCAACGTGTTCCAACTAGAAACATCCCGCTGGGAAATATTCGGACAGCTTTTGGCAGCGTCGTCCAGAAATCCGCAGCTCGCGAACATCCGAAACAAGCAGCCTTCTACTTCCGGATTCACATGAAGCCCAACGGCTTGCACGAGTTCATGAATGTTGTTGAGATGCGGAAGTCCTTTTCCCTGCTTCGAAAAAGAAAAGCTGTTTAGGACCGAAATGAACGTAACCCTGTCTGGAGCCATACCCTGGAGTTGCATTTGGTAGAAGAGTAGTATGGCCTCGTTATGCTGTCCGGATTCAGCACAGGCTGCTATCATTGAGTTCCACGAAACAGCGTCTTCATATGGTACAAGCTGACCAAATATATCACGAGCAGTTTTCAAGTCCCTGCAGCTCCCATACATATCAATTAGTGCATTTCGGACTACGAGATCAAGTTCAAAACCAGACGAAGAAATAAAGTTATGAACGAGCTTACCGGCTGGAAGAAAACTCGAGCTCTTGCATGCACCGAGAATCGTGATCAGCGCTATCTTATCCGCTGTTACGCCTTCCAGCAGCATCCCTTGGAAGACAACGAATGCCACTGAGTAGTAACCATGTTCCACCATAGCTGAAATCAGAGCACTCCAAGATGCAACCACCGGGTGAGATATACTGTCGAAGGCATCCCAGGCGGACGACAATTTTCCAGCTCTGGAAAACATCTCAACCAGAGCTGTCCCTACTGCCACGTCGGTGTCAAAGCAACACTCGCATACCAAGTCGTGAACCAGTTTAGCTCGATCACGCATCAGCGAGCCCAGAATGGTGATGAAACTGATCTTGTCAGGCCGAATTCCTTCCAGCAGCATCTTCTGGAACAGCCGAAAGGCCGTATCGGAGAATCCACACTGAGCGTAAGCAGCAACCATTGACGTCCACATGATCACGTCCCGAGTCCCACTTCCCACGGCTTCGAAAACCTTGGCAGCTTCTTCGACACCACCACACCTGCTGTACATACTCACGAGAGCATTTGCCAGCACCGAATTGGAATCCAAATCCATACCTCCCTCACTGATCCAACCATGAAGAGTTCTTCCTCGAGCTAGATCGTCACCGCAGCCGCAAGACCCGAGAGCATTCACGAACGTAAACTCGTTCGGCGAAATGCCTTCCAGCTGCATTCTCCGAAGGCAACCAAACGCTTCCTTGTGATGCCCCGCTTGGACATAAGCCGCCACCATGACTGTCCAAGTCACCACGTTTCTCGCCGCCTCGATCTCGTCGAAAACCGCGATGGCGTTGTCAAGCTCCCGGCATTTCCCATAGAAGTTGACGATGGCGGTTGCCACGGCGGTGTCAGCTGAAAGGCCACACTCGTCACTGTAACCACGAACTCTTTTACCTTCTTCCAAAGCCCCGCCCTTGGTGCAAGCGTTGAAGACCGTGAGAAGCGTGATCTTGTCGATCGAAACCCCCGACTGGAGCATGGATTGGAAAGTCCGGAAGGATTCGTCAAACTGGCCGTGATGAGAGAATGCCGCCACCATCGCCGTCCATAGAGCAACGTCGTCGCTGGAAGAACAAAGCTCTTGGAAAGCCGACCGTGCTTCGATCAAGCTCCCACACTTGAGATACATCTCGACGATGTCACGCCTGAGCCGCCGAGAATCCACACTGCTGTGCGCTATAAGAGCATGGATTTTCCTGCCTTCCACCAGAGCCCTGTCGCTGCCGCATCGCCGGAGCAGGCGAGAGTAGTCGAAAGACACCGCCTCTAGAGATTTCCCTCCATCCGGCCAAGGATTGATGTTCTTGGCATCCGATACCGCCAGCATTTCTCATCGGCGCCTCGATTCCAGCCAGAACGGCACCGGTTTCTAGAAAATCTCTGATTCCATACCTTGCCGGCAGGAAATCCTTGCGAAATATCGTAGCGCCAAGGCCGCCATGCGCCGCGGAGGCAAGGCGCCAAATCCCCAAAACCCTAAACACACTGTTCTTGTTCTAGTTCTTTTCACGGCTCTGCGCAAGATAGATCAAACAAAAACTGGCATTGATCTATCATCTATCTACACAGCTCCACTCCACGATCTCGCGCTCTCACTGCTCGTGGCTCTTGATCTCCTCCATCTGGTCGGCGGGAGCGCCGGATTTCTGCGATCCAGTGAGCCGCGCGAGCGCCACAAACGTGTATCCCCCGAGGAGATTATTCACAGTCCTGGTCGCGAGCACCGATGCCTTGAACAGCACCGGGGGTAGCATCCCCGCGAGGCCGAATTCCAATCCATTCACGGCCTGGTACCTGAGATTGCTGCTCAATCCCATGTGTGCCGCCCACGTCGCGGCGTTGAGCACCGTCGGCGGCGCCTTGTTCTGGGGCTGGAAGCTCGGATCCATCCTCTTCCTCGCGGCGAGCAGCAGCGACGACAGCGCGGTTCCAACCAGCCCCGCCGCGAATCCCACCGCGGCAAACACCGCGCCTTTGTAGAGGAACGTCCCAGCCCTGGCGGCGAGCGAGAAATTGCCCGACTCGAACATATGCCCGGGAGGGCACGAGGAGAAGATCCCTGGCAGAGCGCCGCCGCCGCTGCTCGATCCAGTCGGCGCGAGGAGATACATGAGCGTGAAATTCAGCAGCGATCCCACCACCATGGTCGAGAACACGAAATCCAGCTCGTTGAGCCCGAAATTCGGCCTGGAAGCCATGTCCCCGAGCACATTCGCGCCCACGCCGACGATCTCCTCCATCGCCACCTTGAACGGGAACTGAGGATCGGCCGTCACGCGATCCTCCCACCCCTGCAAGAACGCGCCGAATATTCCACCGCGGCGGCGCCCCGGCGGCGATGGTCCGCCACCGCCGCCGCCGCCGCCGCCACCTCGCCGCCCATTCTGGCCGGCGCCGCCGCCTCCTCCGCTCTCCACGTAGGGCTCCTCCCGGAACGTGAAGAGAGACACGGGGCCCCGGAATCGCGAGCCTGATCGCGCGCCATCGCTGGAGGAGGAGTTGGATCCCGCGTCGCTCGTCGATCGGCAGTGGATGTAGCGCTGGCGCTGGATCAAAGCGGGGGATCTTGGGCCGCATCCGAAATGCGGGTCGCGGCGATTCTCGCGGCCAGTGGCAGCGGCGGCGACGGCGGCAGTGGCAGCAGCCGCCATTTGGATTGGATCTTCGCTAAGAAATGTGAGACAAAGAAGAGAGAAATCCCTGCGATGATCTAATCGCGCTACCTCCAATAGAGACCCTTCTCTCCCTTTTAGGGCTTTAAGAGTATAGCATTTTGGTAGTGGGGCATCCATTTGCTCCTTGTCGCTATCTCTTCAACACTACTATTCCTCACGCAAAGCTTTAATAGAAGAAGGAAGACGAGGAGGATTTGGAGTTCTTGGCCAAGGTTTGTTCTAGCACGATTCTTTCGTTTGGGTCAAGCTTGTGTTCTTTGATCGTAGATTCGTGAGATTTTTTTATTCCAAGATCCACACACAATGCAGTCGCTCCAAGACCGAGCGTCGGAGTTGAGTGGAGTGAGTCAAGACGATGCATTCGAGATTGATGAGATCAATCTCTACAAGAAGCTGGGACACGAGACCTTCGTCAAGCTCTCCACGAATTTTTACAACAGGTGAGTGTCCTAAAATCTTCCTAGAGGTTTAGTTCTTTCAAGACGAGAGATAGAGTGATAGTGTGCGATGAGCTCACGACTAGTTTTCTTGTCGTGAGATCAATTGCTTTTAGGATGGAAAGTTCCTGCTAGTGGATTAAAGAGTTTTACTTTGGACACACAATGTTCTTGGGGAGTCCTAGCGAAAAGTCATAGTTATAGAGCATTTAGAGCACACCAAGTTCTTAGCTAAGAGCTCTTAGATATGATTGATGACAAGAGGAAGTTCCTCTTTGACAATTTTGGTGGTGGATCCACAGGGTCTACGCCGATGACGAAGAGTGGTTCCGCTCGATCTTTGCGAATTCCTCCAAGGACGCCGCCATCCAGAACCAGTACGAGTTTTTCATCCAGAGAATGGGAGGCCCTCCATTATATTCTCGTCGCAAAGGTATGCAATGCGTTCTTTTTCCTCCTTTTTTCTCGTTTATTTCTTCTTCTCCTGAGTCGTTCTCTTGTTCTTTCCTTCTCCGCTTCCTCTCTTTCTTTCGTCTTCCTTGACTTTTCCATCGTTCTCATTTTGTTTTAGCATTTCTCATTTGAGTTTTTAAAATTTTCTCACGACCAAACTTACAGGACATCCTGCTTTGATCGGACGCCATGGACCGTATCCAGTGACCGAGCGAGCAGCGGAAAGATGGATCGAGCATATGGTCGCAGCTCTCGACAGCGTGGAAGAAATCGATGCGGATTCAAAGAAACGAATGCTCAAGTTTTTCCGGTAAAACAATCTTCGTAGGTAGACCAAAGTATGTGATCCTTGTGTTTTTTTTTCTTCCAGGCACACCGCATTTTTTCTCGTGGCTGGCAAAGAGATGATGGCTAATCGCCGAGGATAAAGAACAGGTTTTTTTTATAAACTCTGGACTAACGAGCCATTGTTTCACACCTGGTCTTCTCTACAGTAGAACACCGGGAATCAATGAAGTAGTTATTTACTCGACAAACGACAGGGAAGGTCGTGCCACTCGCGGATTCAACTTCAGAGGAACTTGCATTGAGGACAGAGAAAGAGGGGCTCGCAGCGACAGTGTTTTCGCGATCGTTCAACCAGCATGGTGATCGACGAGCTCAAAGTTTCTTGCAGGAGGCCTCATATTGTAGCGGTGGCTTACCTCTCGCAGGGTCACATTAATCCTCTCATTCACTTCTGCCTCAAGCTCGCTCACCACGGGATCCTGGTAACGTTCGTGACGATCCACGTCGACGGGTTTCTGGGAGTGGGGCAAAGGAAAGATCCAGAGGTCCCAGAGCACTGGAAGAACAACTTTAACTTCGAGCGCCTCGAGCTGGAGCTCCCGAAAGAGGGTGTGATGTCCCCGGGTGGATTTGCTAAGATCTTCGCGATGATCGAAGAGCTCGGAGGCCCTTTCGAGGAGCTGCTGTCAAAGCTCCACTCTCGAGAAGAGATACCAAAGGTAAGTTGTATCGTTTCCGACTGTATGCTCGTGTTCACTCAGGTAGTCGCCAAAAAACTCGGCATTCCGAGAGCTGGATTTTGGACGACTTCGCTGGCTTCTCTCACGGTCGATTATCATGTTCCACTTCTCCTGGAGAATGGTGATATTCCAGTCACTGGTAAGAACATTAGTGGACTTGCTCGACAATCTCCTAGCTTCGTCTTCTTCCAGGAGAGAACTGGGAGAAGATCATAACTTATGTCCCGGGACTGGCTCCTCTTCCGGCTTGGTCACTTCCGATCATGTACCACGAAGGGAATATCATGACCACCACGGATCCTGGATACAAGCGGAAGATCGCAAGGTGCGTGATCTTGAGAGACGATGCTTGGATCATAGCAAATTCTTTCGAGGAACTCGAGCCGGCAGGATTCCAGGCACTCCGGAAGGCCATGAACCAGCGGTGCATCGGCGTGGGGCCATTGCTCCCCGACGGGTTCTTCGGCGAAAGAGGAGATTATGACGAGCATCGCAAGGTGGTGGCTCCAGGTGTCGCAAGTTTCTGGAAACAAGACACCACTTGCCTTAAGTGGCTCGCTGGGAAAGCTCCAAACTCGGTACTGTACATCTCGTTTGGAAGTGTCATCAAGCTCACACTTCCAGAGTTTGAGGAACTCTCTAGAGGCCTGGAATCGTCCAAGCAGGTACTCCTGTCAAATCTCCATTTTGTCCAGAAAAAACGCAATTTTGCATCGATTTTGTGCAGGCTTTTCTATGGGCTTTTCGTCCAGGATGTGTGGAAGGACTCGAGATCGAGGAATTGGAATCGTTCAAGGAGAGAACGAGCTCGACCGGACTGGTCATAAGCTGGGCTCCTCAAGTGGAAGTTTTGTCGCACGAATCCACAGGTGGATTCTTGACGCACTGTGGATGGAACTCAGTCTTGGAGGGGATTTGCGGAGGCGTTCCAATGCTGGGATGGCCAAGACAAGCCGAACAAAACATAAACTGCGAGCTCTTCGTGGGGATGGGAATCGGGTTGAGGCTAGTGGAAGCAAACCAGAGTGGCCGCTATCAGGCTTGTCCAACGAGCGACGTGATTGCTTCCAAGGTCTCGAGAGTTCTTGGTGATGAAGGACTGAGGAAAAGAGCAGGGGAGCTTCGAGATTCTGCCAGGAGAGCCGTGAAAAACCAAAGCGGTTCTACTACGACACATGTGGAAGGCTTCGTGAGATACCTGTACGGAGAGTCTCTTTCGTAATGTCTTTCTACATTGATAATATTTTTCTAACAACTAAGTAAATAAAACTTGGATTATATTTATTTAGCATTTGAAATGCAATTTATAAGCATATTGTTCCAAGATGCCAACTGTCCCCAAGATAAAACATCTATCATTCACATGCCTCTTGGCTTTAAAAAACTAGTCTATGTTATAAAATTTAATATATTTAATTAGCTTTTATTAAAAAATTAAAATAATACCTTTTATGGTTGAATTAGGATTTAAAGACTAGTAGTTAAATAGTGTATTGGAAATGGTTGTTAAACAGAAAATTTTGATGTGCATTACTAAGTGATTTAAATATATATAAAAAAAGGTTTTAACCTTCTTTAATTGTCTTTTTCCAAAAGCCTTTGAACTTTTTTATTTTTTATAACTTTGAAGCTAATTATCTATTTATGAGAACATATTTTTTTAGTCTAAATGTTTATTGTGTAAAAAGGTTAACATTGAAGCTAAAATATGAAGTGTAATATTTAACAACTTCTAGGAGAAATATTACATGTTTAGTATTTAGTATTATTAACACTATATTATGGAGAAGTAAAATTATTGTTATATGTGTATTGTATATATTGTATATAATTGTATTGTATATAATTATATATAACTGTATATAATTATATGTATTCAATTATTTCTACTTTCTCATAGCATATTTAGTGTAGTTTGAGATAAAATTTAAATGTCATATATATTTAATAAATTTAATAAAACTTTAATAAAAAATAGTTTTCACCCTTTACCCTATGATGTTTTACCATAAGATAACCACAGAGTGCAACCTTAACCCTTTGACACATGAGCTAAGAGTAATGGAATAAAACCCAAATTTTAAAGCCTTAAACCACTGAACAAAGGGATAAAACTAAATTTCCAAGTATAAAGCTAAAGAATGAAGGAATTGGAGCATGGAAAAACTTTCAAATATACAAATCTAGAGTAAAAAAGTGGGAGCACAAAGAGACATTAAAATAGTCATAGAATATTTAACATCCCAACACCAATATCAACATACAAAATAAAGCCAAATGGAGTTTAATGTTATTTCAACATATTAATGGTCTAATGTGATTATATAAGTACTCCACTAGCTAGCATGGTATAATGCTAAATTGCAAAACTAGATGCAAAAATAACACTATCATATTCAAAAAAATCTGTACATTCTGTAGATATAGTTCATTCACAAATCTAAAACTATTAGTAAAGGATTTGCAAATCTAAATTTGCAGGATCAAAACTATATAACCACAAGTGCAACTACAGAAATTATATCACTAGGGTTTACAATTATAAAGTTTGAAAACTTTCACCTTAATTTAAAAGGGTTTAAATGTATAGTTAAACCTAAGAGTAAATTATCTAATCTGGGATCATATCCAAAGATGACCTAAAGTTAACCATTACACAAATTTATTTATATTCATTTTCAAATTTATTTCTACTATTGTAGTCATGGTAGAATAGAAGCTAATAATAGTGTTGAAGACCTTAGTGTATGGAGCTAATGTAGCTCAACTTTAAATATCTTTATATATTATATTTAGCTCAACTTAGTATTCACTAACTTCCATTGTGACAATGGGCATGCTTGAATGTGGAGATGATGTGTACACGAGACTAGTTAAGCTATAAGAAATGAAAAATGCAAGATGACTAATAAATATATTTGCACATGCAATCCTCACCAATAAAAAAATGACCTCTCCCTTTATCAACTACATCATGCTTATGGAACTGGTCATACATGCAATTGGGGCAATAATCATTAAAGATCTTAAATGTTGTATCATCTAAATTGAATTATTATTATCTACAATAGATTGAACTCCTCCAAAAAAAATGTCTTCCTCAAAACATGGTTATCTATCCTAATACTATTTAAATTAAAAAACATTTAACTTTTATTATCTCAAAACCTTTAATTGATTGGAAAGAAGGTGCATTATACCTTTGAAAACTACTCTCAAGCTATTCTTTTTTGGTATTTATAATAATATGATAAAATAAAACTATCTTTATATATTGTATTTGCATATGCTATATATAAAGAACATCATTTTGCATAGTAGCCACATTTACTGTACATTTGGTTTATCGGCAAGTAAAAATCCAAAGAATGAACATGAATAAAATCGTAGCTACCCAGTTTTCTATATGGTATATTATAGAATGAAGTTTTATATTGTATCAATCTTTTATATTGGAAGCTTCTATCAGTAAGAGAATCCTTGTGCTAAATTGTATGCTGAAAAGTCACTTGAATATACATATAATGAAATTCAAGTTTTAATAACTTTTTTATTTAAAGAAAAACCCAATCTTATTATGATGATCTTTGCCTTGTTTTTCCTGAGCATGCAGTTTATTACTATAGTGGAACAGTAAAAAAAAATTATTATTACAGTATGTTAGTAATGATCTTGAGGTTGTCAATGAATATATTACATACACTATTAGTTTAGTCTTTAAAAATAGTAATGATAAGAAAATTTACTCTTATGAGTGTATGGAATATGGAAAGGGAATACAGAAATGTGCATATCAATTAGCCCAAAAACCCTAGCTTATATACAGGAGTGAGTGGTTCGGATTGAAACCAATCCGACGGCTATTAAAATCCCACTACGCTAATATTTGTATATGGCATCATAGTTGTACACTTGGCCCTCACATCATCCCCTCCTCTCGGAATAATGGAAGGCCATCAGGGTTCTCTTGTAGATAGGCCAGGATCTGGAGGAACGTCAGGAGGAGGCATTGGCGGATCTATAGATGGTATTAACTACTCCTGATCCCTTTGTATGAAGTGTTTCGACCGCTGCACATGCACAATCTCTGGAGGATCGGCCTGCTGGACGTCATGCCGAACCTTATAAACTTGCGGTCCAACTTGCTGCAACACTCGATACGGTCCTTTCCACTGCGCAAGGAGCCCCTTAGATAAACCACGTACCGTAAGATGGGGAAAATGGACTAACACCAAATCATCCATTTTGTACTTTGTAGATGGACGATGATGGGAGTTGTAGCGCCGTTGTTGTCCCACTTGTACGTGGTCTAAGTGTTCAGTAGACTCTGCTCGGACAAGTGGAAGAATGTTCGTCAAATATTGATCCCATGACCTAGTATCAGGAGCTCATGGCAATCGCGAAGGTAAACCCAGCTTCGTTGGTAATATTGGATCATGACCATATAAAAGTTTACATGGTGAAGCACCAACAGAACTCTACACCCCTGTGACATAAGCATACCGAAGAGACGGCAAATAACCATCCTAATTCGAATGCTGAAAGTTCATATACTTCACAATCATCCCTTTGAATGTCTGAACAAGCTGTTCCACTAGACCGTCTGATTGTGGATGATAAGCACTCATAAAAGTGTGACGTATCCCCAACCGAGACGTCAGAACATGAAATACCTCAGCCATAAATGCAAGACCATTATCTGAAAGAATCCGCTCTGGACAAGAATGCTGGAGCACCACTCAATTGAGGAGGAAGTATCCAACAGCAATTGCAGAGGTGCTAGCAAGAGCACCAACTTCCACCCAACGAGTTAAGTAGTCAGAAGCAATAATAACATACTCATTGCCAGTAGTTGACTGTGGAAAAGGTCCCATAAGATCAAACGCCACCAACTTAAATGGACGGGAAATTGTAATTGACTCCAACCGTCCTTCCGCAACACAAGGGGGAGTATTACAAGCTTGGCACCAAACGCAGCTACGCACATACCGGATAACATCACGTCGCATCTCCGGCCAATAGAAAGACCTACGTAGCTTCTCGGTCACACGACGATGTCCCAGATGCCCACCTAGAATAGGAGAATCATGATAGGCATGGAGAAACCATGGAATAAAGATAGAAGGCACCACTAGTCATAGAGGATCATCAAGATCCGTCCCCACAAAATAAAGAAGGCCATCTACAAGACGATATTGAGAATGTAAATGCCGAAAAGGCAAGTCATCAGCAAGTGATGCAGGATTCTCAAATGCATCTCGAAGCCTTCGAATCCACGGCTCAATCTTTTGAGCCTCACGAACCTTATCAAGAGAAGGTAGATCTTGCTCTATGCCTTGTGGACACTGAATGTCAAGTACAACAACCGCCGACAGCACAGAATCCTTGTCTAGAAAATCCACAGATGCTGGAACAACAGGCTCATCAGAAACATGAGAAGAGAGTGGAGAAGGAAGAGGAGCTCGAGAAAGGGCATCAACATCAGCCATAGAACTCCCTGGGCGATGAATAACATCAAAATTATATATCTAAAGCTTCAAAGCCCACCGAGTAGTGCGTCCAACCAGGTTCTTCCGCTTCAATAATGAAGTAATGGCAACATGGTCACCTTCAAGTAACGTCCGAGAACCATGTAGATATGCATGAAGTTTCTCGAAACCCCAAACTGCCGCTAAACACTCCTTCTCTGTCGTGGAGTAGTTCACTTCTGCTAGTTGTAACGTACGGCTTATATATGCAATGGGATGACGCTGACCAGGCACACTCGGGCTTTCTTGCATCAACACACCTCCAAAACCAATATCAGAAGCATCTACGCGCAAAATAAAAGGTCGAGTGTAGTCAAGATATGCCAAAACTGGAGTAGTCATCAACAACTCTTTGAGATTCACAAACATCTGCTCACAATCTGAAGACCAAATGAAAGATGACGTTCATGACTTCAGCAACGTTCGCAATGGTGCAGTGCAATCAGAAAGATGATCCACAAAACGACCGAGATACTGCACCTTGCCCAAGAAGCGCTGCACATCATTCACACACTTCGGAGTAGGGAACTTTAGAATGGCTATAAGTTTGTCAAGATCAACTTGCAAACCTTCACGAGAAATACGGTACCCAAGATAAGTTGTGTCCTTGGACCCAAACACGCACTTCGACCGCTTCAGCTTTAAACCAACGTCCCGTAGCTGATCCAACACTTTACACACATCATGAATATGCTCTTCCCACGTCCCCTCCGAGTGAATCAAGACATCATCAATGAAGTCAGCAGTCACCTCTGGCATATCA